ATGAAATCGTATATATTGTAATTAGGATCGAGAATACAAAAGCGGCAATAAAAATACCACTGAAAGTATGATAATGTGTCTGGTCATTATTAACAGTAATAATAATAATTTCAAACTTCTTGTATCTTTTTCAGAGTTATTTCTTTCTTGGGTTATTGTAAACTTTGCTTATTGAAATACCTATTTATGAGACACGATGTTTCAGATGTCAATAACTTTGTGAACAAATGACACAGAGCCTGCAACCTACAGGTTTAAAGATCACAATTTGTAAAAAATTGAACAGCTTTTATTTAATCAATATCTAGTACCTGGTTGCACTTTTAGATGACTTCATAATGCGAGAAGGCCATATGCTATATTTTTTATGCATCAGTTGTAGCCTTCTGAAGTCTCTCAAAGACATACAAATCTAACATAATATTGTGTGGCACGATGGACAATTGATTCTCATAATCATTCTTTTTATTGTGGTGTGAAGCAAATTAGCAGGTAGCTGAGAAAATAGCGCACCGCCCACTGAGCTCAGTCAGAGAAGAGACGGCGCTGTAAGGAGACTGTTCTACAGCTTGCAGTGTTTATGGCACTGAGCGTGTCTGTCTTTAAAACTTAATAATGGAATATAAATAATTTCTTTTAACTTGTAATCTTTTAATTATCATTAAACATAGCTTTCTCTCCAATTAGTTAAACATTTGAAACCATCATTAAACAAAGCAGGGGCTTATTGTACTTTCTAATGATATTACACATGGAAAGATTATACAATTTAATCGTTTTTAATTTTTTTAAATAGCTCATTCACGTCCCTGCAGGTCAGTTCCCGATCACCTATACGACATCCTGTACCTCCAGTAACCTCATTTACTGTATCTCCTGCAAAAAATGCCCAGCTATCTACATTGGAGAAACCAGAAAGAGACTAGGAGACTGCTTCAGAAAACATGTTCGGGCTGTGAAGATTTAAGATTTCTCCAAGCCCATAGTTTCTTATTTCACCTCAGTGGTCATGATCACCCTGATCGCTCTGTCTCTGTTTTCAAAGAAGGGTTTCTCAACTCCCATAGTAGAAAAACAACAGAAATAAAACTAATCCTGAAACTAGGTTCACACCATCCACCTTCTCTCAATGACCGACTTATTTTCATGTAATCTTCTCTATTCTCATGCAGGTTTTGACTTCACACCTTTCTTTTTGTCAAAATCTACCTAATGTGCATACTGAAGCTTGTAGTGGTAGCCAAACATAAAAAATAGACAACAGTATTCTACCTTTTCATAAACATTGTCTGCATCAAAGCCTTTAACTCAATCACTTATTGTGGTTATTTTGGAAAAGTTTTGATGTGCTTGTTATAAATATAAAGTTTATATACTTTATGAAAAGCTATAATATTTTAACCCTTTTATACGAATACTGTACTTGCTGTCATTATTGTTGTAAAAACAGTTGTAGTACTATTGTACTATTAATACCTACGGGATTAATAAAGTATTATCTATCTAATACAACTTAATAGGAATTATTAATAAAGAATCGTGTAACTAAAGAAATTTGTGTAGCTGAAAATATCACTTGTAGTTGTTTTGGAAACATTTTAACATTTTACAAATAGTAGTTAAATGTTTACCTACTTTCAGAAGGGCCAAGGTTTGATTCCCAGTCAAACCAAAGCATGTATTTGTTTTTTACCCAGCCAGATACAGTATATACATATATTAATGTTTCTGATCATTTTAGATATTACAGATGAAACTCCAAATCAGAGACCAGCAATCTCCCGGATGCTTGGAAAGAGTAAAGGATTTTATATCTAACTCAAACATAAAGCACTCAAGACACTCACTGAATGCTAACTTTATTGAACTGCATAGCTTCCTAATGAATGGCTTATAGAAAATTAAGAAAAACTACTCCCCTTGGAACTATATAACTTAAACTCCCCACATTCCCTGGGAAAGGGGAGGAAAAACGAATGCTCAGTTACACTGCACATCACAGATTTTAATGATACCCTTTAATGATGCCATCAAATTCAATTGAGGAAGGGAGACAATAACTTCAGTCCCAACAGCCACCCCCTGTTGAGAATGGTGTTATATCCAGTCTAAAGGGTGCAGCACATGTTCAAGTTAACAAGAGGCTATGAACTCAAGCACCTCAAGTCCTGCTCCTCTGTCGTTGTTAGATGTTTTACAATAAATCGAATTCTAATAAGATTAACTACAGAAACTACATTTTTTTCTGTTTCAGTTAAATCAGACAAATAGAAAGTCAAATCAGTCAGGATCTCAGAGTTGAGTAAGCAATCACATGGGTCTAAAACATTTCACAAAGCAAGTCCATCAAAGAACCAGACCTTACGTTTAGATTGGATGTCACAGTAGGTTTTGGAACTGTTGAATTTTATAATTTCCCTGAGAGGAGGGTCAAACAGAATTAGTAAATGGTCTTATGTTTTAACACAAACTAATCTGCTGACATTTCAGCTTGTAAGAGCAAGTTTCCATTCAGTGACACAGGTTACAATATGGTCAGGCAGACAGATTTGAAATTCTTTATGCAAAATTAATCCAGGGACACCAGGGATCATGGGTTCAAGTCCCCAACGGTGGGGGGCCGATCAGAGGTGGCAGCAGCGAGGGCGCATACCCACGTAAACCCAAAAGTGCTACATTGGTGTTAGCTGTGGGATGGGATAGCCCTTCGCCAAGGATGGCAAATTAAGCAGGGGAGAGTGTAACGCATACAGCCGACATTACAGGTTGTGCGAGCCGGCTTGCCAGTGTGGTTACGTCACCGCCTTTCCCTAGGAATAGCAGGCACCTCAGCCGCTGGGCTGACGGGAGATCTCCATTTAGCTCAGCTGGCTGGTTCCCTGGTGAGTGACGCCGAAGGCTCGGGTTTGAACCCCCGGTGGTTGGAGAGCCAACCTGAGGCGGCAGTGGCACGGGTGCACACCCATGTGAACCGGAAAGCGATACAATCTTATTTTTCATACACATGTGTTGTTTGTTGAGTGTATTATTACTTACAAGTTCATTATTAGCCTTTTCACATTGAAGAAATACATGCATGTGCTGTGTTGATGCTACTAGGTTTACAATTAATCGAATGCACATTTTTATTTATTCATGGAATACTTTGTCTAACATATTGTTAAGTCAAACTGTTAGACTATACACTGCAATAAAGAAAAAAAATCATGCACAGGACCTTTCTCCCAATTATGATTTTTTTTTCTCACAACTCACAGTGGGGCTGTAATATAACAGGGTGTAATGTAGTTTTAAAATTGAATATGAGAAAAAACACAATTCCCAAAATGACACTCACATAGATCACATGTATACCTGAAAAAGGTGTACATCCACATCACAACAGGGTATAATAATAAACAAGTTTTATATATCTGGCTGAGTAATTTTGCATTGTGAAACAGCCCTACTTTAATTTTTTGCAGCATAAAATTAGTAAAAGTCGAAACAGTATACAAATTCTATTCACAACAATTACATTATTGGAAACAAAATGTCCCTGAGGGGTTGAGCATTTCACATAATAATCCAGAATACTTGCACATACCATGTTAAACATTCACTGTGCCACCTGGTGGTTTTACAAAATAGTGCAGTCCAGCATCGGGTAATTATTGCATTGGCCTGTGCATTGCATTGGCCTGTGCATTATGCTGCATTGTTTGTCAGGCATTCTGAATGGCTGTATCTTTATATTGTCATAAACACATAACAATATACAGATCAAATCAAGTTCAAAAGAAAATGTATTATGGTTGCATCACAGTTTCTTTCACTCTTCTGCCAGGCTTATCCCTTGGTGTTTTATTGGGTTGAAGTTGGAATATACTATATATAAACAGCTCTACAGTCACATTTTAGAGCAGATTATAATATTAAGGTTTATATTAAGTTTGATAGACTTTGCAGTGACAAGGAAAACATCTAAACCAACTAGAATTTGTGGCTAACCATCAAGATCAATCAAAAGGGTATTGAAGAAAAATGAGATATACACACACCTATAAAACAGACAAGAGATTAGAGACATTTTTAGGAATTATTCAATTTAGATCATTAAGAACTAGGGATATTATTAGAGAATTATTAGGGATAATTTCTCAAGTCCAGAAATGCTCTCTAAGAAGACCAAGATGAAGGATTTTTCTTAATTATCATTAAAATGTATAAGTTTGAAAGGAATGTTTGTATAAATATGACTGGATAATAACAAACAGTTATACTGGAATGGTTTATCTTTACTTTGATGTTAAGCTTTGAAATCTGAACTGAAATTGATTGATAATTACAGAGACCAGTGGGAGCCTATTATTATTTGTCATTTGCTGTTATCGGTAGCAGTGAAGTGCAGGAATCACTTATGCAACTTAATCACGATTTATCAGGCAACACATGCCACATCTCCGATTGTAATGTGAAATCTTCCAATTTTCACATTAAAAGAAGGACAATTTTTGCCATTGCCCTTAAGAGTTTCCTCATGAATGTCTATAATACAATTAGAAGGTATAATTTTACTCATTTGTTTTCTAAAACATTACATTAAAACAATTCTGTACTTAAAGTTGAACCCACATAAAATATGCAAACACTAATTCTTATAAATTCTGTAATGAATTTTTTATTCATTACAGAATGTTTAAGAATTAGTGTTTGCATATTTTAATTCAAACCAATTGTCCCTGGATCTTAAACAGACACCCCAGACAGCCCAGAATGTTAAAAACATTCTCATGAATAAAACCTGTTAATTGAAATATTATTGATCTATACTAAGGGTCACTTTCTCAATTGTTACTAAGCCAATTAAAATTACTGAATTTCTGTGCACATAAAGACATAACGTATCCCACATTCGCACAACAGTACAAATGAATTTAGAACAAACCCACAGAATTTACTATTTCTGCTAGTGTATCTGATTTTTCTGAATAAAGTTGAGTTACTGCAAAAGAACATACCTGACAGAGAGTGTGTTGTGGTGAAAGTGTTTAAGTCAGCCATGCTTTTGGCACCACAGTTGGACTCTATCAGACGCCCTTTCACTGAAACCAGTGAGCTGTCATGACGATGTAAAGCTGCCTTTAGAGGAGCTACTTGATTGAACTGAACTGAGGAGAGACATCCAACGAAACCCTTTACTCCAGCCAGTGCCACATCTTCATCTTCTATAGCACTGCCTGTGAACACAAAGAAAGTTATATGTTAGCTTTCAAGGTGGTTAAGCAATAACCATGTAAGAAATATAAAACATAATCAACCACTTCATTTTCTATGGTTTCAGAACTGCAGTCCATGTGCCACAGGAAATATCTTATTTTAGCCTATTTTAAAATATTTGTATTAATGTCTTAGCACTTAAAAGCTGTGTAATTTACAACATGTTCCTAGTTTATGAGGTAATAAGTGGAGAATAGTATACATAGAATAGAAAAGTGCAAAAAATACACTTGATCATAAGACACACATTACAGTGTTTCTATATTTTAAATGTAATGCAGATATGAATATTGGAACTTCATGGTCTACTTATATGGTTTCCTTATTTCTCATGAGTAAATCACAAAGCTCCATTTATCAATACATGTATTTATATATGAAATGTATATTAAAATAAATGTGAATTGTCATATTATTCCTGAATTTCAATAAAATCTTCTGAACCTTGTGATTTGTTTCATCAGCTGCAATGATGATGTAGTGGAAATCTAATGAGTTAATTGATTCTTAAAAATGTAGAGAGCTTTGCAAAAAAATATATTGGTGCTTTTAGGTATAACTGCTATGCTACAGTACGTGCAGAATTTTAGAAAACAGTTCGTCAACAAAGTACACTGTTTAGGTTAGTTTAGAAGACAATGTACCAAAACAATATATGCTGTCTGGGTCATTAGAATTAGCTGAAAGTAACTGATAAACTTTGAATAACAAATCTAGTGTTTTTCTCTCGCTCTATGAGGTAATTTGTTTTCTTTTAGAGAAAGGGGAAGTTTTAGAAGGGACCAAGTGCTGAACTTTTTTACAGCGCAACGTCTTATAAAAACCCTGTACTGCTTGTAACAAATTGAGTCTCTGGTTGCACTTTGCGAAGTGGCAGCAGGGCTCCCAATATTGCAATATTGAAATAAAGACCTTACTCAGGTGAGAACTCTCTCTTGTGGCTTCCTTGATAGTTAAATTTCCACGACAATGATCATTGGTAAATTAGTTTAATAAAGTTTATAGAATTGTATAATTCTCTATAAGATTGTAAAGCAGATTGATTAAACACTATTGAAAAAGTTTTTTGGTTATTATGAAATATAAAAAAACACACAGTGAACAGTCTGAAAGTGGCCTCTTATCATTTCATACAGGATTATTAAGTTTTCAAGAGGCAAAGAAAGGCAAGACACCAGAGCCTACAAGGAAATAGATGTATCACCCACGAAGTGGTGTTACACTTTAACATTTTGAGTCAGAGTCAAAATATCAACTATTGAGCTTTTGATTTAAATGAAATGTGATGGGAAAGAGAAGTATTGAGGAGAAAATGGGTGAAGGGACAGGACCAGGCAGCAGGACTGAAGCAATTCACTTCAGACAATCCCTGTTCAAATCTGACAGAAAGTCCAATGAAGCTAAAAGAATCCTAAGCAACTGTGTGTGGTAGTAGAGTAGTTTGCTTTCATAATTTTCCAAAGGTTTTCTGAGCTACCTCTTGAGTGCTGATTATAACACCTCTTGGTATTCGAAGTTACCCCTTGAGTGCTGATAATAACAGAAGAATATAGTAAATAATGAAAAATGAGAAGACAGCAAATATCTAGCCTTTTTGGTAGTTGGTAACTAATTAATCCAAGGATCTCATTTTGTTTTTACAAGAGATGTCATCAGCTTCAACAACATGACTAGGCAGATTGCTGCATACACCCAAAACCTTTTGTATAAAACCCCCTGCAGTGGTTCTCAGTTTTCACTTGTGTCCTCTGCTTCATTATAAGAAAAAGGTCCTCAGAGTTTACTTTCTCAGTGTAGTAGAAATGTTTAAGTTCCATTAAAATTTTCAGTGTCTGGACTAATTGGTGAGCATTAATATTAATAGTGTATTCTGTAATAATAATAACTTTTGATTTATTAATCACCTTTACAAACCCAAGGACGCTGTACATCATGAATAAAAAAAGACAAAAAAGTACAATTAAATGAAGGAAAAAAGAGCACACAGGCTTACAGATCTGGGCAATCCGACATAAACCTTAGTAAAAAGGTATGTTTTAAGATTAGATTTGTTAAAGATGTTGTCTCTCATAAAGTCAGAGATAGGACATTCCACAGCAATGGAACAGCAGCAGAAAAGGCACAGTCACCAAATGTCTGTCATTTAGTCCTGGGTACAGTGAGTAGAGGAGTGGCCTAAACTGAATGGAGCCTATGGGGAGAATGTAAACTTAGTAAAAAGGTAACTTAGACTGGGTTATGGTTTTAACATGTTTGTTCTAACATTCTAAAGTTTATATATGGTACTTCATAAAAAGTTATAATGTTTTATCCTTTTCTAACAAAATGTAGTATACATAGTAACACCACTTGCTGTTATTGAAAAAACAAGTTGTACTGATTTAATACCACTTGATAGTTATATTATCCATATATATATATATGGATAATATATGGAATCATGTAACTAAGCAACAAAAATGTCACAAGTGGACATTTTGGAAGCATTTTGTTATCCGTTTAATTTAAAAAAACTTTTATTGCCCTTGTAGTTGTAATGGGCAAAGCTCTGTAATGTAGCACATTTTACCCAGGCAGTTCAAAGCGAGATCTGAGCATTACTTTCAGGTTTGTTTCTTATATAGCGAATACATAACAATAGTCCACTATTATAGCTTGTTGTTGGCTCAGGCATTAGTGTGTGTATTTGGATAAATTATTATATGTGATGGTTTTGTGATTAAGGATTTTTAATGGAATTATTTAAGTTAAACAAAGGAAGGAAGGAGGCTTATTTTTACAATTGCCAGTAACCAGAGAACAGCTTATCCATACGGATGCAGCCATTCAAAGTACGTGGCACAGACACGTACCGTGGGTAATTGGCTACAGATGCAGCCATTCAAAATGAGCGGTAAAAACCTGCGGTACAGTAATCTACCCGCAGGGCACCGGAGGGCACCGCGGTAAGTGATTGGCTGGCCAAAATGACCGAC